ATTGTAATCTTATCTTTTTTCTTTGTTACTTTCATTCTAAAATGGGGAGAGGAGATTGGGAGTTGAATTTCCTAACAACTGAAAAGAACTTTCAATACAATCTATTTCAACACTACTAGTTTTACCAGTGAGATATAAAATGATCTGGTTTTTTTTAAGTTTATTTATTTTGAGTGAGAGAGCTCATGAACAGGGCACGGACAGAGAGAGAGAGGGAGAGAGAGAATCCCAAGCAAGTTCCATGCTATCAGCGCAGAGCTCGACACAGGGCTCGATCCCACGAACTGTGAGATCATAACCTGAGCTGAAATCAAGAGTTGGACATTTAACTGACTAAGCCACCCAGTTGACCCTAAAGTGGTTTTTTTTTTTTTAAATCACTGAAATATTCTATCTGGTTATTTGCTTTCAAATAACAAAGTGCAAAGATAGATTGGTGAATGTTAACACTGTTGATAATCATCAAGGGTAGGGGTTATTTCTACTACTTTAGTGTATGTTTGGAATTCTCATAATAAAAATTAAATAAGTAATTCTTGATCTTGTAGTACATAAAGCATACCATCAAGGCAGTTCATTAATCACTAAGTGTCCAACTCTTCTTATTTTTTTAAAGTTTATTTTTTTATTTAGACAGAGAGCAAATGTGAGCGCTTGCAGAAGAGGGACAGAGGGTAATGGAGAGAGAGAATCGAAGCAGGTGCCAAGCTGTCAGCGCAGAACCCCATGCAGGGCTCAATCTCATGACCGTGGACCATGACCTGAGCCAAAATCAAGAGTTGGATGCCTAACCGACTGAGCCACCCAGGCACCCCATCAACTCTTCTTATTTTATTTTATTATTATTTCAAATGTTTATTTATTTTTGAGAGAGAGAGAGAGCAGGAGGGGGCAGAGAAAGAGGGAGGCACAGAATCCAAAGCAGGCTCCAGGCTCCAGACAATCAGCACCGAACCCAATGCAGGGCTTGAACCCATGAACTGTGAGATCATGACTGGAGCCGAAGTTGGACGCCTAACCTACTGAGTCACCCAGGTGCCCCAACTCTTATTTTGAACTTCAGAGCAATAACAGAAACGCCTCAGCATGAATCTATAGGGTCTTACATGTTCTCACTTATGCCTGTTTCCAGTGTCAATAATGACAACTGCACTGAGATGGAAAATTATGCTTTGTAGTTAATAGGCATTTTCATAAAATAAAACAGCTATTATTTTTGACTTTTTAGTTTTATTTTTTTATTAAAAGTTTTCATTTAAGTAATCTCCATACCCAACATGGGGTTCAAACTCACGACCCAAGATCAGGAGTCACGTGCTCTTTGAACTGAGCCAGCTAGGCACCCCAACTTCTTGTTCCTTGATTCTATAGTTTAGTAACCATTTGCTTATTTCAACAAATACTTCTGGAATGATGTACCAGTTTCTGTTAGGCCCTAGGAACAGCAGATTGGGTATGTAATTTTTATATGTATCTACCTATGGAATATTCACTTATATATAAAAAATACAAGAGATATTAAAATATAATAATAGAATTGATAGATGCCTTATTAGCTGTATGAAAAAAGTCCTATGGGGACCCTGAAGAGAGATGTGTAATCAAAACCTTGATCAATAATGTCAGAGGAAGGACAGAATTATCTATGTGCTCTATAAAGAATATTAGGGACACCTGGGTGGTTCAGTTGGCTGAGGGTCTGACTCTTGATTTTGGCTCAGGTCATGATTCCAGGGACGTGGGATTGAGCCCTCCGCTGGGCTCAGTGCTGAGCATGGAACCTGCTTGGGATCTCTCTCCCTCTTCCTCGCCCCTCTACCTTGCTCACGTGCCCCCCCTTCTCTCTCTAAAATAAAAAAGAGAATATCATAAATTTTGAAGGGACAATCAAAGAATATGCTGGCAAAAATGCAAAAAACAAGTATTATAAATGTGTGTGGGACAATTAATTTATAAAAATATTATTTTTCTGGATTTAGGGATGTTTGTGTTGTCAACTTCAAAAGATGTGTACATAGACTTGTTCTCTCATTTCAAATAAATATTCACTTTCATACACAATTCTGTATTTGTTTTCTTAAAGAGGTCCTCCGCATTATATAAACTTCAGGTGCCACACAGCTTAAGTCCACCTGAGTGCCTATAATTTGCCAGGTACTGTTCTGGGAGCTAAGGATCCATCAGTGAACAAAATAGAGAAGAAAAAAAAAACCCTCTCTCTTATGAAGCTTATTCTAGTTAGGAAGAGACAAAACAAAAACATAACAAACAAGGAAACGAAATAGTATGTCAGAAGGTAAGTGCCATGGGGAAAAAAAAAAACAGTTGAGAAGGGTAGGGAGGAGAGTGCAGGGCAGAGAGTGTGGGTGGGCTGGTATTGCCCATATTAAAATAAGGTGGTCAAAGCAGGTAAGTCTTACGGAGAAGGTGACTGAGCGAAGACTTGAAGGAACTGGTTATTGAGGATACCAGGGGGATCTAGTGTAGTATATTAGGCTGATGGTACTTCATTATTCTCTTATTCAGGCTCTGAGTATTTGAAGTAAAATAATCCCAAAGATCGAGTATCAGTGGGTAAAGCAGTAACAGTTGAACCAGGGTTAAGAACTGAATGGCCCCCTGGGGCACTAATCATAGAGATAGGTGCTAAAGAAATAGGGACACTGTAACATCACTGGAAAATAACCAAATGGGGAATATTATCATTTACCAGAACATCTGGTGGCGGGGGCGGGGGCGGGGGTCGGTGAGACCTCGAAGGGGCATGGCACTTAAGGAGATTTGGTCTGATGAACAGTCAGGTTTGTACTCCTGCGTAGGGTGTGGCAACTGGGAACCACATCTGAAATGCCCAGGGCAACAGAAGGCTTCTCACTGCCAATGAAACAGTGCTGCTTTCCCACCCTTCTCACTCCTTAGCATTCAATCTTCTTGCCAAACTGGTCAGCTAAAAACAAGTTTAAAAGTATACATTGCTGGCCTGCCCTAGAAATAATAACTATGAGAATGGGACTACAATTGTGAACATTTTAAGTGTTATTTGAACACCACATTTGTTTTTCTTTGGCAGCTGTGGTGTAGTATAGAAAAACAAAAGGGCAAGTCAGAACTGCATAGGAGTTCTGATGAGTCTGCCACTTAGCTGATTAAGTTTTACCATCTATAAAATGGGGGTAATAATATGTTTATTTTAGGGCAGTCAAATGAGATTATTGTGTTCCAATGAACTTTTTAATCAGCAAAGTATCATATACTTGTTGTCATAATAATAGAGCTATAAGGTAGTTCACAATTGTAGGATCATAGTTATGAAGTGTATAATAACAAGTTGCAATTATCAAAAAGTAGTTAAGATGGTGTGTAAATGCTTTAAAATCTTCATTTATAATCTGCCTTCATGGCGATTCAAGAAAACAATCTAACAGATTTTTCAATGTCTTTTAATGGTGTATCGGAACAGGAGCCATACATCGTCAATCCCAAGAGCAAAACTAAGTATTTTGTTTTCTTACTTATTTGAATGAATACTGAAGGAGTGACCCTTAGCCAAATGAAGGTTCAGCATTAAAAATAACTGGCTGTGTTCTCCAAATTGCCAGCCAGGTAGAGTGATTCTTAAATGGTATTTCTTGTCAGCAAGAAAGGTGATCCCAAGAATGAACAAAAATAGCCTCTGTTCAACAGCTGTGATATTTATAATTTATAAGCTGTGATCACCTATCATCAGATTGTCTTGGCGTCTAAACAAGAAAGGATGTTTGTTTGCCATTTGTATATTTATCGCTTCTTAGGAAATCAGCTTTTGTTACATTTTATTCTTTCTGATCAATATCTTTATCTCTTTACACATAAACAGTAAGATAAGAAGCTTCCTGTTTGAGGAGCATGACCTTGAAACTCTAGTTTTATGCACAACGTTAAGTATGTTCAACTACTCCGTAAACGTTTATTTCCAATCAAATAATTTTTAAGCACTGAAGGGCAACACTGAAGACTAGGACCACATGTAAGGACGAAAGGGAGGAAGGATGGGAGACATCAATCCATAACTCAATTCTTGTCAGTCTTTAATACTGTGCCTGGGTGTCATACTTCCAGTTTTCTCTCACCCTTCTTCCCCTACTTCTAGCTCTATTTTTAATTTGTGCCCTTATATTGCCCTTGCTCTTCACAATTCTCTATACCCTTTATGCATTTTACTTGCTTTGCTCATTACATTGTTTCCCTTTTCATTTCTTTTACGATTTCCCCCTATGCAACTCTAAGACAACCTATTTCTACACTTTATATGAGCGTGTGCTAAATTACAATCGAGCAAATATCGTGACTGTGCTTCACCGGAGAACGAAGTGCAAACTGGAACCGCGAGCTCTTGCGGAGAAGGCTGTTGCATCCACAGGGCAAGAGAACGGAGGATTACAAAATCCACAGAGGAGAGCCCCCCAGGAGAGCACCCGAATTGCGTCCTCTGTGTGTGCCAAGACCTGCATCAGAAACACCCCGCCGCTGACTCGAGAAACTTCCCCGTAGCGCTCCGCAGACCGACCTTCGATCGAGGCCCTTCACCCCCTGACTTCCCCGACACCCGCGTCTCAGTCTTCACGCCCCTCTCTCCCCACACCTCAGGCAGGTCCCCGACTCCCACGCCGCCGCACGCCGCCGCTCCGCCCCCCTCGGCTCACGCCTTAGCCCCCTCGGTTTCTCCCACGGCGGGTTCCGAGGTCCGCTCCCGCGCTAGGAGCTCCCCCACAGGTGGAGGGGCCGTCCACTCCCTCCCCGGCCCCTCCCCCGCACACCTGGCTGCTCCCAGGCCCGCCCCGCCCCCTCCGGCGCCCCGCCCAGCCCCGGGCTGCAGCCGCCGCCGCCGCCGCTCGCGCCCCGGCGCTCCCACGCCGCCGCTGCCCGCCCCGCGCCCCTCGGCGACTCCGGCCCCCCCCACCCCCCGCCGCGGGCCCGCTGCACTGTGGGTAGGCGGCGGCCGCCCTGAGGAGCCCGCGGCGGCGGCGGCGGCACTCGCCCTGAGGAGCCGGCGGCGGAGCGAGGCGGCGCGCGCCGAAGATGGCTGAGAAGCAGAAGCACGACGGGCGGGTGAAGATCGGGCACTACGTGCTGGGCGACACGCTGGGCGTCGGCACCTTCGGCAAAGTGAAGAGTTGAGTACGCGCCGGAGGCCGCCGCGCGGGGCCGTCCGCTCGCGGGAGGCCGGGCCGGGCCGGGCGGCGGGCGCGGGCCTGGCGGCAGGTGGAGCGGGCCCGGGAGCCCCCCGCGCGGGCGGCGTGGGGGCGGCGGCGGCGGGCACGGCGGCGGGCCCGGGCTGTGGCCAGCGGTCCGTGCCCGGCTCGGTGGAGCCGGAGGTCGGGCTGTGCGGCAGGGTGCCTTCCAGCTGAGTCGCTGTGGGCAGCGCCGGGGAGGAAGAGCCGGTGCCGGTGAGCGAGTTTCCAGAGCGTGAGGTGCCCTCCTGGGTGCTTCGCGTGTGATCTCATTTAATCCTTGCGGCCACTTGGCGCGGGTGTCCTCACCTTGAAGGTGGGAAAACCGGGACCCCTAGAGGTTTGGGAACGTGCCCAAGGTCACAGCGAAATTGGCAGAAGCAGGATGAAGTGCAAAATGTCTTCCAGTTCTGGCCAGGCCGGGAGGTCCCTCTGTCCGACTCTCGTGCTCCGGGACTCGGGGTTGGGGGGGGCGGACGCTTTCGGGAAGGTTCCCGGGGCCTGCAGGTGGGGGCGTGAACGCTGCCACGACTCTGGGCTCGGTTAGACCTGCGGCTCTCGAGGGTGCTTGGCGCGTGGGGAGAAGTCTAGGAAGGCTTCGGGAATGGGGGCGGATTAAAGGCTCCTTGATGTTGGCCCTTGGACCGTGCCCGGCTCCGGAGGCCAGAACTGCTAAGACCTATTCTGCTGAGGCCTGTTTTCTTGGTGATGGGATCCCATTTTGGGTGTAGAAAAACAGGCTGCTTTTGAATGTTATTTATTTATTTTTTACTTGTTACTAGTTAAGTATTGAACCTTTTTTTTTTTGATGTTAATAAGCGTCACATGGGATTTAATTAATCTGCCCTCTTTTCAGAATTAGAGCCAGCTTATTAAAAATACTTTCCGTTTGATGTGAATCTAGAATTATAAGTCAAACGTCAGCTTTTTTCTTTTGCTGTAGGCAGTCTGAGATTTTACTCTCAGGCCTCTGTTTCTTTGTAAATTTCGTACTTTAACGTCAAGTGAAGGGTGTTAAATGGGGAGAAGGAACTCGCTCATTCCCGTGGCCTAGACCAGCTCTTACTCGCACGAATCCGATGCTGTTTTATTCAGAAGGCACTTGCTGAGCACCTGCTCTGTGCTAGACATGGTTGTAGGCAGTGGGGACAGAAAGGGACACAACCACATTAAAATCTCTCCTTTTGTAGAGCTTCTGTTCTAGTAGGAGGAGGCAAAAGATCATCGGAATATACGTGTAGAATGTGTAGTATGTTTAGGACGACTGAGACACATGAATCAGGGAGGGGAGAATGAGTGTTGTGAGGTCAGCAGTTTTCAATAAGGTCAGGCAAAGTCACACAGACAAGGTGGTGTTCGTGTAAAGACCTGAGAAGTTTGTGAAAATCTTTGAAGTACTATGTGCGCCTAAAGTCCTGGGACATTTATGAAAGACTTCGTAGAGAGGCTAGTCAAGAGAGTATGTTTCGGGTGCATGTAGGAAGATCCAGGCGTGAGATTCACGCCTGTAAGGTTTCTTGCCATTCAGTGTCACTACTGGGGGCGGTTGTGTCGTGACATGTGATGTGATACATTTACTCTGGCAAGCTCTGCCTTTGCCATCTTGGCATGTATAGTCTCAAAGTTACATAACTCCCTCTACAGCCTTTCAAACTGTTAAAATGTTTGTCTTTCTGAATTCTTACATAATTTGAATGTAGACTAAAACACCCATCAGGTCAACTGGCCCGTTGCCAAAACACAACTTAAATCTCTTTTGTATATACTCTGGAGCGGCTTCTGGGCATCGGCTTCTTAAAATATAAACCACGGATGGTGCACTGATTTATGAGAAATCCTTTTTGGAGGGCCCAGTCTAATGAACAACCAATGGGAGGACTGGTTTTTTTTAAAAAAAACTTTAAAAAAATATTTGTTTATTTTTGAGAGACAGAGTGTGAGCCGGGGAGGGTCAGAGAGAAGGAGAGGGAGACACAGAATCTGAAGACAGGCTCCAGGCTCTGAGCTAGCTGTCAGCACAGAGCCCAGCGTGGGGCTTGAACCCACAAACCATGAGATCATGGCCTGAGCTGAAATTGGATACTCAGCTGACTGTACCACTCAGGTGCCCCAGCACAACTGTTTTTTTTTTTTTTTTTGCTGTTCTTTTTTAAAAAAATGTTTAATGTTTATTTATTTATTTATTTTTTATTTTTTTATTTTTTTGTTTTTTTATTTTTTTACAAATAGTTTATTGTCAAATTAGTTTCCACATAACACTCAGTGCTCATCCCCACAAGTGTCCTCCTCCATGCCCATCCCCCCTCCCCCCCACATCCATCAGTCCTCAGTTTTTGTCAGCATTCAAGAGTCTCTCATGGTTTGCCTCTCTCCCTTTCCCCCACCATTTCCGCCCTTCTTCTCCCCCTTGTTCCTCCGTCAAGTTCCTCCTAATCCTCCTATACATGCAAACATATGATATTTGTCCTTCTCTGCCTGACTTATTTCGCTCAGCATAACACCCTCAAGGTCCATCCATGTTGCTACACATGGCCAGATTTCATTGTTTCTCATTGCCATGTAGTATTCCATGGTATAGATAAACCACATCTTCTTGATCCATTCATCTGTTGATGGACACTTAGGCTCTTTCCATGTTTTAGCTATTGTGGAGAGTGCTGCTATGAACATTGGGGTACATGTGCTCCCTATGCCTCAGCATTTCTGTATCCCTTGGGTAAATTCCTAGCAGTCCAGCACAACTGTTTTTAACACCATGTTGGAGCCTCTCTAAAGTTAGACTGTGATTTCCCATCCCGGATTAGAAGTAGTACAGTTGCTCAATAAAAATGATAGAAATCGCTATAGTCAGCCTTAGTTGTTCAGGGAACAACAAACGAAAGTACATGTATTTTTAAAAATTTGTATTTAGGGGGGCGTCTGGGTGGCTCAGTCGGTTGAGTTTATGGAGAGGTCTTGATCTCACAGTTAATGAGTTCAAGCCCCACATCAGGCTCTCTGCTGTCATTGTGGAGCCTGCTTGGGTTCCTGTGTCACCCTGTCTCTCTGCCCCTCCCCTGCTCTCTCTCAAAAATATGGATTTTTTAAATAAAAAAACATGTATTTTTTAAAAAGGAAAATATACCTTCATTACATATTTACACATCATAGAATTCACCCGTTCCAAGTATATGATTCATTAATTTTTGTAACTTTATTGATGATGCAACCTCATCATACATGGAACCAACCAACATCAATTTTGAAAGATTTTTATCACCGCAGTAAGATCCTTCATATTCATTTACAGTGCCTCTTTGCTCCTACCAGCAGCCTTAGGAAAGCTCTAATCTGTTTTCTGTCCGAATGCACTTGCTTTCCCTGGACACTGCTGACAAATGGAATCATTCAATATGGAGTCTTTCATATTTCCTTTAACAGTGTTTTTAGGCTTATGCATGATGTAGCATTTGTCAGTAGTTTATTCCTTTTTTATTGCTAAGTAACATTCCATTGTGTGGACATGCCACTTTCTGCCTATACATTCACCAGTTGATGGACATTGCTTTCACTTTTGCGCTGTTACAGATAACGCTACTACAAATACTTAGATATAAGTCTTTGGGCACTTGTTTCATCTATCTTGGTTGGGCACCTAGGGGAAGAATTGTTGGGACATATCATAGGTTCGTGTTTAGCTTTTTGAGAAACTGCAAACTTTTCAAAAGTGGTTGTACCATTTTCACAATCCTACTGACAATGTATAAAGATTCTCCTTTCTCCGCACCCTTACCAACATTTGCTGTTGTCTGTTTTTAAAGGCATTTGGATGCGTGAAAATGGTGTCCCATTGTGGCGTTAATTTGCGTTTCTTAATGATTAATGATATTGAACATCTTTAGATACTTACTAGCCATATATATATATATATATTGCCTTGGGTGAGGTGTCTCTTCCTATCTTTTGCTCATCTCAGGAGCTGAATTACAAGAATTCTTTACAAATTCTGGATTCAAGTCCCTTATTGGATGTAGTTTGTAAATATTTTCTCCTAATCTGTTTGACTTTTCATTTTCTTAATGGTGTCTTTTGAAGAATAAAAGTTCTGAATTTTCATGAGGTCCAATTTATTGATTCTTTTTTTCTTTTTATGGACCTTGCTTTTGGTGCTGTATCTAAGAACTGTTTGCTTTAGGTCTCAAGGATTTTCTCGTATGTTGCCTTCTAAATATTTTGTTGTTTTTAGCCCTTACATTCAAGTGCATGTCCCATTTTGAGTTAATTTTTGAGTATAAGAGGAGGTTCTAAAATTTTTGAATGAATATCCAATTGTTCCAATACAATTAAAATGTATCAAAAATACGTATTTTTGTTATATAGATTTGAGACTTTGTAAAGTTACTTTCTACTAAGAAACTTAGTGGTAGATGGTTTAGTTTCTTTTTTTTTTTTTAAGTTTTTTTTTATTTGAGAGAGAGGTAGAGAGAGAATCTCAAGCAGGCTCTGTGCTGATAGCCCAGAGCCTGACATGGGGTTCAGCTTAGTAACTGTGAAATCATGACCTGAGCCAAAATCAAGAAAGACTTGGATGCTTGATTGACTGCTATTCAGGCACCCCGGTGATTTAGTTTTATATGTCTTTAAATACACAGAAATAGAAGAGTGAGTAGCATTAATTTTGTATGTGCCTTTTCTCTTTAACTGTTAGGCTAATTACAGGTTTTGCAAATTTAACTTGTTGATGTATCAGTTTATAGGCCAACGTTAGGTACGATTAGCACAAATTGAAAGTGGCATAATTTTCATTTGATAGAACTCATTTCAAGTCATTTATAAAAAGTGTAAAGAACTCCTTTTCTATTTGCTGTTAATTAATGAAACCCTTCTTTAAAATGTTCTAAACTGATTTTCCCCATTGTTTTGTTGTTTTGTTAGATTTCCAGAGAAGTGCCATGGAAACAAA